GAGCAAGATCTAGTATTGCAATTCTACCCAAAAACATTATCATATGATCTTTTTTTTACCAGATCGCCACCCCTATCTGTGACTGTGGGGGTCACAGCGCCACATATGTGAACCAGTAACAAAGTAAATTCCCTTTGCATTTGTTCATCAACATCTTATTAGATTTTGCTTATATTCTGTGTAGGCCTATATATATATAAAATCTTAGGGCAGGCTAACTGTTAGCTTCATCCACATTTCCTTTCAAATGTCATGCTGATCATTTTTGACGTAAATTGTAAAACATAAACTGTAAACTGGCGAAGATTGCGGACAAAGCCTTTCCCACTCTTTGAGAAAGACTGTCCTACCTAAAGAAAACTTCCCCTACCCAAAGATGCTGCATCATTTAACAACTTTAGGAGACGTTTGCAGACTTGGTAAGGCATTCATAGTGTTACACTTTACACTATGGTTGTTCACATGAAAAGTGACAGAAATATTTATCTAACTAATTAAAAAAGAGAGATCTAGCGAGAGGGCAGCAGGGTGGTGCATTGGTTAGCAATGTCGCCTCACAGCAAAAAGGTTCTGGGTTTGAACCTGCCGGCCAGGCTTTTCTGTGCGTTTGTATGTTCTCCCTGTGCCAGTGTGGGTTCTCTCCAAGTACTCTGGCTTCCTCCCAATGGTTGTTTGTCTCTATGTGTCAGTCCTGTTATAGGCTGGCAACTTTTCCAGGGTGTACACCGCCATGACTGCCATGTACAGGAACAAGAACGTCCAGTGCAGGTACCGATGGACAATGATGTGACTGGTTATTTTTTAGTCCACCAATTACTGAAGCCAGTTCCACACACAAGTGTCAAGGAAGTGCTGAACAGTGTTTACAAGCTCCTTATTGATCAGAGGAGTAGTGCAGACATAGAAGGGACAGGTGTTTGAGTACCTTTGTCTCCTTGTAGACTCTAAGAACTCAAGGTCAACACACATAAATAAGATTAATAGAACACAGACATAAACTGTTTAATTGCCTTTAAAGGTCCCACAACACATGACAAACAGGGTAGACAACAAGGAACTACAGCCCAAATCAACCTGTTTACTGCTAGCACTGCTATTTTAGTCTCTAGTTGAGAGGAACAGCAGCGAGTGGTGGTGGACTGCAGAGATTCATGGACATACTTCACCAACTGCAATCTGCCAGTTATTCACTATCCAAACTACAAATTTTTGTCACACCTAAGCTTAAATTTGAGAACATTGTTGGAAGCATTAGGTGGTCTATTTGGAGCCTCTGTTCATGAATGAGTTAGCTATCCATTCCGACAGGACACAACATTGAGAAACTACACCTTGAAAGACAGATGGGTCTTCAGCTGTCTCTCTAGTGGTCTGTGCTGCCTTCAGCTCTCAAAAACTAAAAACAGTGGAAATCTTTGGAGAAGGCTGGAAGGGGCTAGAGGACTGTTGATCATGTCTCCAATGTCACAACCCAAACCAGTTTCAGCTCAGAGAGAGAGAGAGAGTGAGAGAGGGAGAGCAAAGCCCTTCACTGCCAACTGGAGAACATAGAGAAGAGTCCCCTCATCCACCTGATCCTGAGGTTCAGCTCCTCCAACAGCACCAGGGGCCTGTTGCACAAAGCGCCTTGAGTTAAGATTTTTCTAAGTCTGAGTTGAGGTTTTAAGAAAATAAAAACAGTTGCACAAATACCCTCCTTAAGTCTCCTCCTTAAGGTTTCCTTAAAATCCTTATCCTAACCTTATTCTTAAGGAATCACTTAAAGTCACTTGTTGCACAAAAGACCTTAGCGACCAAACTAAAACTAAACCAAAAAACAAAAGGTTCCTCTGACTGTATCTTAACTGCAACATGGGGGATTTCCTGTCAAAACAACATGAGGATGAGATAGTGGTGCACTTCTTTAATGTTCCACAAGTGATAACAGGTATCCCAAGTGCTTTAGGCAGCAAATCAACCATCTCCATGGATTGTCACTGCAAATGCAAATGCCCTAACTTTTTCTGTGCAACAAGTTGCTCCCTCAACTTAAAACTTAAGTTGCGTACTTAAAGGTGAATCCAGGTGTGTTTTTCCCCTGCTGGAGACAGCTCCGGGTGAGTAAAGAGCTGTGGTTTGCTGCCAAGCTGCATCTTTTCTTTTAGACTAGTGAGTAACATATAATGTTGGTCTGTAGCGAAATGTATCATTAGTGCAAATGACAAACTGTACCGACAAACACTTGAAGTGGCATAAATGTATAATTGATGATGTCAACAGACGTTTTAGTGATGTAGTAGTATATAGTCTGTTCCTGTGGCTGTTGTCCAGCTCAATGCGTCAGTAACTTTTCTTTTACAAGTAAGACAAAGAGACTGTTTGATCCAGAACCAGTGGGTTCAGGATCCACTGCCTAATACTGTATTTATTTTAGCATCTTCATATCTATCCTCACTATTTATTATACGCACACAACAGACCTAATCTCTCTCTCAAATTAAATCAAAGGCTACTGGACTTGTATTTGTCTGTGGAAGACGTTTCGCCTCTTATCCAAGCGGCTTCATCAGTTCTTATGTATTGGTCTCTCTAGTCCGCACTAGTCTGACCAAGAAAGTGGAGTAGGACCCAGGTATTTAACCTCTTGTGGGTGGGTCCACCAAAGTACCTGTGAAAGTACTGGTTTCACCTGACCATTGTTGTGGTCTCATGTGGACGACCGTCGTTAGGGTCAGGTGAGCCCCTGGTGGATGACGATCGTTGAGAGTCGTCTGAGGTTATGTTGTTGACTCTCCTGGGTACCGATGAAAGGGCGACATTGTAGATGGGGGATAGATGGTGTCGCAGACCCCCTCCCCTGTTTAGCGATGGCCTCTCCACTTTTACATAGATGGCTTCCTTGACTCCCCTTTCAAACCATCTGTCCAAGACCTAATATGTTTGAATATAAAGAACTTGTATGATCTAAACTAATTGTCCTATCACATGTTTGTCTGTATTGGGACCAGAATTCCAGTCCAGTCATCCCCAGTGATGGACCAGCACCAGCCTTTTCTTCTGCGTCTGGCCTCATCAATCATCAACAACCACATTACAGTAACACATCAGAGTATTATCCCTGCACATAACAGATATTGTCTATACTGTGATCTGTTGCTCAGCAGGAGTTTGGTCAATACTTTTGTACATAGTTTTTTCATTGTTTTATTTTTTTTTAAATATGTGTATCTATGTATATTTATATTTATCTTTTTGAGTTTTTATTGTTATTTCCTGTTAATATATTTTATTGTATACTGCACCAAACACCATATTGTAAGTAAAAACCTACCTGGCAATAAACCTTATTTTCTGATTCTGCCTTTGTGATGATGCCATCATCCCTTCCTCATGCTGCTGTAGCCTGTCACCCATGTGTCATGCAGTATCCCCTTGCCTTCATATTTCTATAGGTAAATAAAAACTTACTGTTTGTACTACAAGTACGAATAATTTGTTTCAGTGCTATCAACAATTTTAACTATGAACAATAAATGCACATATAAATAATACATTATAAGGAACATGGGGGAAAAAAAACAACATGATTAACTGGACAGGGGCAAAGTGGTGAAATGCTGCCCCTCTATGGAGGTGGAGCAAGTAGCATGATCTTACACATTATTACTAACGAAAACTTGTTTTGTGCAACTGGCCCCAGGCCTCAGCACTCACACCTCACACTATCTGGACCAACCAAACTCAACAAAATGACAAGTACATTAACTACTGGACATGTACCACAAAATCACAACATAAACTTCAGTGTTATTTAGCTGTAAAAACAGTGCACAGCTGCAGACTATCTGACCACCATGAGGGATCAGACACTGAGAACATCAGCACTACAACACATGACAGCTGTAGTCAGTCTCCTTACACATATTAAATCGAATTGAATTGAGAGGGAGAGAGAGCAAGGGAGAAAGAGAGACTGTGAGAGACAGACTTGATTTTTAAAACACTTATATTTATCAGTAAACAGGAAAAAACTCACAGGACATAGGTACCAGATCAGTAAAGTTCCGCTTCAACAACACAGAAAATTTGGCTCAAATGAAACTCCATTGATAAATAAACTCATCAACATTGTTCATCAGAGTGAAACTTGAAGTCCTGAAGTCCACTCTAACTCTAGCCTTTACCAGAGACACAAATATGGGGAGCAGCTCCTCGCCTGAAAGAAAGTTCAACAACTGCCACTTTTTTACATTTTCTTTTTTTTTTTACCAAGCACTAAAAATAAAAGCAATGCCAGGCCATTTTTCACTGAAAACCATGAACAACTTTGAGTTTTTGACACTCTGAAAACTTCTGTTTGGGTACTACTGTTGAATGTTGACTTTTGATGATTCATATAAAACACAGGTTCATCTCTGACAAAGAAAAAAAAATCAGATTGTACTAGATGTACTAGCCAAAATTGACAACTTATTCAGATTCAAATTTAACAAATAAACAAAAACGTTAATACACAAAACACTGTACAGGAAAATGCTTTCTGAACAATAGATCATAACAATTAAATATAAAGAAAGAAAAGTGTGAAAGGTTAAAAGCTAAAGAAACATTTGAACGAGTATGTAATTGAAACGCACAAACCATGTTCACGTCGGCTACAGACACACCTGACTGGATCTCTAGATAGAGCACATTCTGCCGATAAGCCCCTCCGGATCCTTGTCAAGGTAGAAATAAATGGACTACTGTCAAAATACAGTACGGCTTCCTGCGACAATAATCTTTTAAACAATACACTGCTTTGTTTTTGTGATCGTGGTTAATGTATTTATTACATAAAGGTTAGGATAAGGTGTGTCTGATTTATTCTTTAAAAGCTCTTCTTTTTCTCTTGACAGAATCTGAGCTTTTATTTTGTGAGAAGATGTAGTTCCGGGTTCGTTACTAACTGTTACGGGCTTGATGACGGAGCTCTTTGTATGCGTGGTCTAGAGGAACCGCAGCGCCGAGCACACGCGCGGCAGCAGCAGCAACAGTGGAGGATCATTTATCACAGGTTTCCAGCCACAGACAGACAGGGTACAACAACGGACCGCTACTGGATAAAGACAAAGTTAACAGGGAAACCGATGATATTTAAAGTGCACCGTTGTCTTTTAACGTCAGGTATCAAAGAAGTGCTTTTACCGGGAAGTTTGCTACTCAGAGCAGCGACCACTGGAGCATGAAAGCAGATGTGGAGGGAGAGCATCGACCTAAACTTCACTGATTCTTTACGCTGGGTTTATGCTCACTTCACCGACTTATATGCTTCAAACCTGTATCTGTTTTCCTAAAGAAGCTTGTTTTATTGGATCGTAGTTGTTTCTCCGCTCAGGGACTCACTAAATCTCACAACTTTGTAAAGACAAAAGCGGGTTATTTTAGTTGTTTCCAACATACACAGAGGACAGAGAAGACAGAAACTTGGACGATAGGAAAAGTGGATGTATTTTCAGCCATGGATGTAACAGTTTACCCACCTCCTCCTCAGCCTCTGGCCGTGTCAAGCCACACCAGGTTAGGGCAGCCCTCCTACCCTGATCCGGCCTTTGGGCCCAACAAGGTAAGGAAGGAAAGAAAGAAACCTACACAAGCTACGTCTGTTTCCCATTGTCTAGACATGAAAGTCACCTTTGTGTTACCTGAACAATCGCATCTCACTGTGTATTCATCTTTATTGCCCTGCCAATTAAGTGCCATTTAATTGCTTTAGTAGGCTACAGCTAATAAACTGAATTTGAAAATGAAATTAAGTTAATTAACTGAAGGTAACCATATCCCCTCAGTAGCTGTTCCTCATTTCTTTTGATCATATCCACTTACTAGATAATATACAGGTTGTAATATAATTCTGAGTTTGTTGTCCATGATTTAAAAACACCTTTAACTAAAACTACTGGTTACTGCGGGTAACTAAAAGGTAGTTACGTTTCAATATGCTCCACATTATAAGTACAAGAAGTGGAGAAGAACATGCACAACTGTGTTTGAATGCTCAAAATATTTGATCTTTACTGGAATTCTTTCTGTTTTGTGATAGTTAATTGTTGTCTGAGAAGCTCTGATGTCTTTCTCCGTAGAGAGCAAGGTCAGGGTCAGATTCACTACAGAGTGTCTTGCTGTAAGAAACTTCTTCCATATCTATCTATCTGTCTATCTATCTATCTATTTATTAATAGTGATGAATTGCTTAATTATTTAAGTGCAGCAGATGAGTGAAGGTAGTATAAGATTATTAACCTCTCGTCAACCATAGTTTAGCAAAACTGAAACATATACATTATTCCCTTGTCACTTTTATTTCAAAATGTACTATTTTCACTTTAAAATAATATCAAAATACACCTAACTAACCTCAATTAAACATTTTATGCTGTTAAATTGTGGCGAGCTGCAGTCATGCTGTACAGAGACCTCTGTCTCAGTTCAGACACAGCAGGTTATAGATATCTTCACAGTTTTTCCCACACAATCTGGTTGTATTTGTGGTGGTAGTTGACCGGCATTCTTACTTTGTGACAAATAAGTGACTGAACAATATATACAGCTCACACACACAGTCTGTCATTTAGGCGGGCAGAGCACTCTCCCTTCTGAGGGAAGCTGTCACAGGACCACACAGACAATTGTGCAGGACAAAGACTTTAAAGGTGTTTATTAGGGCTTATATATGCCACACTGCAGAGCAGAATTTTTCCATGACAGTATTGAAATGGACAATATTGCCATTTTCAAACACCCAGGGACCATGTATTACTGTGTTTCCACCCAAACGTAGGAAGTAGAGTGATATTGCAATTATTTTTGACAGATATTGTGATTATATGAGCCATGATTTTAGTTGGAAGTTTTTAAACTTAATTTTCACTGAAAAATAAGACTAGGCCAAAACCTTGTGAAATTGAAGATGTAGTTGAAAACTCTTGTGAATTATATTTACATTCAGCCTAGTGTCAGCCAGTTTTAGCCTTTATCTCTTTGCTTCTCTTTTGAACACAAAACACAAAACTGCCAGTAACAAGACTGCTTATCTGATCTTTTAAATCCGAACCATCTCCAAATAGATGTTTTCCTTTTTACAAACCAGGTCTTCAGTGTTTCCCACAGGTTGAGAATTTACTTGTGGTGGTCTGTGGCACGACGTGTTACCCACTCAGTTACTGCAGGACATGCTGGTTCTTTTTCAGCATCATAGACCGGTGCTGTGTCTCCCGCCATGTTTTAGTAGAACTTGTGAACAGACGAGGAGTGGGGGCAGGGTTGCACAGAGAGTTTGAGAGTGGCTGGCACAGCTTTACGGAAGAAACAAGTGATGTAATGCAGCATCAGAATAAATTGATATAAATTGTATTGTCTCATCCCACATCTAGTTTGAAAATATACCAATAGCACTGGTTAGGTTGGTTGGTTAGGTTGGTTGTCTGAGTCTTCCCTAGACCATGGCGATAAGATGATAGGGATATGTACCAGTGACAGACGCTTCATCAATAGCAATAAGAAAATTGTTCACTAGAACGTCCGATAGTTTCTCGGGTGCACAAACACCAAGCTTGCTCCCTCCCTGGCTCATAAACAGCCTATCATATCCCCTGGTAAAGGAGTGTGCTACAAGTGACATGCAAACAGCTAATCATTTATAGGGGTGTAAGAAAATATCAATACACTAAAATATTGCGCTTTTTCATGACGTGATACTATATCGATATTTTGAAGCGCTTTATCGATATTTTATCAATAGTTTACATGGTGACAGTGGTTTTGTGACGGTGGTTTTGTGTTGTATTCGAGCCTCCGTTGGCAGCAGGCATTCAGCCATTTGGCTCTCCCCCTCCTTCCACTCCTCTCACTAGACGAAGAGATCTCGCGAGCATACAAGCTTCAGGTGCAGCACCAACACCATATGACAAAACATCCAAACGGTACAAGGACATAACTCACACAGTAGCATACTACTTTTCACCTGGTCTTTATTAAATATAGGTCATTAAAAATGATCAATAATTATTGATATCAACTGATATGAATATTTTTATCATGATAACATTTTTTGTCGTATTGCCCAGCCCTATTGCCTGCTCACACAACAATGGTTTCTTCACAGAACCACTGACAGGCTTGTTTTCTTCTGTTTAACCTCCCAGCAACAGCGTGTTGTTGTGGTTACAAATAACTTTACCCAAATACCCGGGGTTCAAACCCTCAGCTAGCAGGTGTCTTCCTAATGGCCAACACTGTATGGACTTTTGCATTATCTAAGGTCCAGCTACGTTCTAGTTTTAAGCAGGTTTTGGGTACGTTGAATGTCTTCAGTTTCCTGTTGTTGAACAGTATTGTTTTGTCTGTATACCTCCTTCAGGGGTCACTGCTGAATAAAGAAAAGTCTAAAACTCTATGTTCAACAATGCAGGGTTCAAAGGAAACAGAGATAGTACAGCAAAACTAGTAGAAACATTTCATTGGCAGTGTCAGTCCAGAGATACAGTTTGATAAAAATGCGACAGTGCACAAATGTTGATTTTGTGTATATTATTTGAAAAAACAGACAGTTATTATATAGTGATTACTGTATACAGGTAGTATAGTTTGGAATTGGGACACAGGAAGTCATTACTTATAAGTTCTGAAGCTGTCTGACATCTGACCACAGTACATGCTGACTGAGCATGAATGGAATATCACATTAATGTCTTCATCAGCTAGATTATAGTTATGTACTATGTCCTGTGTACATGGTAAATGGGTGAACTAACTGTGCTGTATACAACCTGCTTCTTAATCTCAGAATCTAACATGTTCTGTTCACAGCAAAGCACTGTGTTGTCAGTGAGCATATTTGTTTCAGAAAGAGAGGCACGGGATGTAGATAGAGAGCTGTGTGGTTGGGGGTAGGGACTGGTGAGAGGTAGTGGGAGGGTTGTTGGGGGTAGGGATGATGTAGATGAGAGAGAGAGAGAGAGAGAGAGAGACAGAAATAAAGAGGCATAGTGCAGTGGGGGTGGGGCCGGGGCCACTAAGGTTTGTGCTACATTTCTCTGTCTGTGTCTTTTTATTCACAGCTCTTTCGGCCTGATAGAAGAGATCATATTACTGTGTTGGGGAACAGCAAGGGTGTGTGTGGAGAAATTACAGTGTCTAAGTATTCTGATCCTTTCAGTTTTTGCTAAGGATGCCCCGATTGAGCGCCCGCCGATCATGATCAACTGATTTTCATTAAAAATATGTGATCAGAAGATCAGGATTAATGCTTTTAGTCTCTCATCCACATAAAACCGATGACCTGTGGTTAATGTTCTGGTGTCTGCAGCTGAGAGAAGCACTGTGTTCTGTGTAGTGTAGTCCCACCATCTTGTTCAATGCGTCGGCGTGCGACAGGCTACCAAAACAAGACAACATGTCAACCGTGTGGAACTTTTACAAAGTGGGTGAGACTGATATAACGTATGCCATCTGCAATGCATGCCAAAAATGATTGGTGTTGGCTGTAGATCAGCCGATCTCACTTATAGATGATCGTTATTGGTATTGGTGGCAAAAAAATGTACCAAAATACCAAAACTTAAAAATAGCTCCTTAGAAATCGACAAATTATTGTCACTGCTCTATTGTGGCAGTTGGTTATTTAAAACAGGCTGTTCATATAGCATTTTGTTCCAGCATATTTTTTCAATTGTTCCTAATGAGGAGAGACCGTACGCAGATGCATGTGGCTGCCTAGAGTAAAAATCCTGCACCCAGTGTTTTTTTCAGAGCACCCCGACTTTTTTGGGTTGCTACTCCAAGTGATTAGAGATGAAAATCTCTGAAAGAAAGGTGTTTGTGATTTCACTGTAGCGCCTTTTCAGGCAACCAATCAGATTATTTGGGACTCGTCCCCCTGATAACCAAGAAAGTAAAGGAGAAGCTTGTTCTGGCTGTTTGATATGTCAGACAAAAACTATCACAACAAAGACAGAAAAGCGTATTTGTAGCAGCAGATTAGCTAGAGACTGAATGTTGCAGGTGAATGTCATGCTTTTATCACCATACGCGTTTTAAGCTTGATGTTAGTTGTGTAGTCAACCCTCTGTTAACATAGCGTTAAGTTAGCTACCTAGCTAATGTCAGTCTGCTTCTGTTTTCATGGTGGAAAGCAATATCGAACAAATAGTAATAAAACGCAAAATGTATTATACAATGGCGGTGATATATTGTCAAGATATTGTTGTCAGGGAAATGAAATCCAGCTGTTTTTGAAATGCTGTGCTTCCCAGCATTTTACCAGTGCTTTTCTGCCAGAGAAAAACACTATATGGACACATGCCCATATATGGTATATATTCATTTCAGTAAATCTTTTTTGACCCAATGGATCACTCTCTGATCTTTTAAGATTTATGGAATCTTAAAATGTCCCACTTCAACCTTTGTGTTATTTATAACAGGATTTGACATCAGCTGGATTGTGCCCTAAATAACAGATGGCTGTGCATATTTTTATTGCTACAATGATGCATGAACTGCAACACAGTTTTTCTCTTTCTGTGTGTCTTTTCTTTTTTTACTACAATTGTTAACAAAGCACCT